GGGGAATTGGTTACCCTTGTGTGGTAAGGAGAGAACGGAAGGGGCTGCTCCTAAACCCTTAAGACAGGTTGGTTGGTTTTTGATAACGTCGTTTTACTTTGGGGACGGTTAGCTTAAGCATCGTGTCTGGCGGTGGGTATAGTTTAATTACTTCGTTAGTTAATTGAAGGAGGGACTGTGGCAGTGAGTAAACGTTCGTGTGTGAGGGGTGCGGGGGGTACGTTTAATAGCGCAGCGAATGTGTTCTGAGTGGCCGTCTAACTGCTCCCCTGCTGTCTCCTTTCCTAGTCGGCCTTCCCCGGATCCTGCCTGGGTTGCCAAATCACCCGATCCCCGGGCTTTACTCCGTTTTGTAGGCCCTTTAGTGCTGTGTTCAACTTTCTATTGCTCTCCAGTCTCTCTATAGATATTTTTGGCATTTCATTTTTTAAAGACCCAGGAAGTGGAGGCTGAGGATCTCCTCTCTAAAAACAAAACAAAACAAAAAATATAGGGTGGAAAGTTGAAAGAGCTATTGAGTGGGGCAAAAAACCGACGCTCTGAACAAAGGTCCTAGTTGTTGGAGGAAAAGGCAAGAGGCCTATATATGAGGCCTGTGTGTGTGTGTCGCATTTACACGGGGTGGGGTGTGTGTGTGTGTGTGTGTGTGTGTGGAGGGAGCAGCTAGGATTGAGGAATGGCCTTATCAGATTTAGAGACAATAAGTTGCAGATGGTTTTATTGAGATTTATTTTAATACTTAGATTATGCAAAGAGATCAGTATTGGGAATTTTAGAGTAAACAAAATTTCCAGTTCTTCATTTTGAAACAACCCTGCTCCATGTTCAACCCCAGAAAGATTGAATTGGGCTTTTACATCATCTTTGTGAGATTGTTGGCAGAGTTTTTATTTCATTTATTTTATGCTTAAGAGAGCATATTAACATGGTTGGAGGTTGAGGTTGTGGGCTTTGTTCACATCTGCCTTTCTATGAATGTGCCAGTATCCGTAAGAATTTAAGGACCGTAATAAACGTTATCATTGTTTCTATTCCATTCCCAGTTTTTAAGGAGTTTGAGTGGTTTTTAAGTCTGCTCTGCTGACAATTACTGTTTAAGTTTGTGTCGTGAACAGGCTTTTTGTTTTAGTTTTTCATTTACTTTCTAAGTTTTAGAATACTTCAGGCAGTTAGAGTTCTAGAAGCTGCTAAACTAAAATGATTATTTTAAAAAAGTGAAAGGGATGCTGGGCCAGTGTAAAATCAATGCTTTCACCTAGCAAAGTAAATTTGAAGTAATGTTTACTTTTCCATTCTAACTGAAGATTACTGGGTTAATGTTATCTACGTAAGATTTTATGATCCTATTTTAATCACATCATCCTAGCAAAGAGACACAAATTCATGGGAATTCACACACTGACAGTAGCTGTGTGGCCTTGAGCTTTTCACTTACCCTATCTGGTCTCCAGTTATCTGTAAAATGGGGATGGGCGGTCACTGTCTTACCTCACTGGGTGGTTGTGAGACCCAGTGGATACAATGGCTGTGAAAAATTACAAACTGCTAAATAACTGTAATATATTATCATTAGTTTTAGAAAATTACATTTGCTATTTGAGGCCATTAAGAACACTTACAGCTTTTCACCAGTGATGGTGAAGGGTGGGGGGCGGTGACCTTGATGTAAGATAAGTGCAGCAACTTATTTTTTGAAACTGCTGTTCAATTGGTAGTGGAGCTTGGGCCCAATTTCTGTTAAGTTACTCTTGGGTTGATTGGTTGGTTTTGGTTTTGGTTTTCGGTTTTTTGCATCAGCATGGTAGATTTCTACCATACTTTCTCCTGAATAAATTTGTTAATCATATTTAGAGAAATTTCTTTACATTTTCATTATTGATAACACATGTACCTGTTTCGGATCGTGGCTCTTATGGAATTGACTTTATAGCGTCAGAGTCTACAATGAAGGGAAAACCTTGCCAAATCTATTTTTTTTTTTTTTTTTTACAGAATTTGGGGAGGAGGCGTTTTGTTTTGTTTTTTTCTTTTAGGTGGATGATGATCTTTTCGAGCAAATAGAATACCAGTTGCCCTTTTATTTTTCCGTTTGCTGAGGAAATTTGATGGACTCAGGTTGAAAAAAGCAACCTGTTTGTTGCTTTTCATCTTCTCTCAGGTTCCTGTTACTGCCAGACTGACCTGCACTTTTCCTTTACTTAAACCATTTTAGGTTCCCTTCAGCTCACCCCTTCCTAGCACTTCCTCAAACCCTTCTATCCCAGGATCTTTCCCATTTATTTCTTGGTTATCTAAATAGGCTCCGTTTTGGGATTATAGTGTTAGATTTGTTGACCTGTGTTGCGTTTGTTTCCTGACTGGATTATAGGTTTCCCCAAGTCCAGGATTATCTTGTATCAACTGTGTTTTGCATGAAGGTGCACCCATAAGCCTCATTGAAAATAATACCCATTTCCCTTCCCACTCCAAACCAATAATGTTAACCTAGTCTTGCTGACTGTGCAACCAGCCTTCCTGCTTGGGAAGTTTCTTGGTCTCAACAGATTCCTCAGGATGCTATTTGCTCTGGTGGTCCCAGCCTCTTCATATCTTCCTGACTGCTGGAAAGGGCTTAACAGTAAGAGAGAATCTGACGGATATTATACAATAAGTATAATCTGCCAATTGTAATGTACAATCTCGATGCTTGTAGTTCTTAACATTTGACATGAGCTTTACATTTGTGTATTTTCTTTCGTTGCCTCTGTATAGTTCAAACAGCTGTGTCACAGATTTCTTGAAGGCACAGACTCCTAGCAATTGTTCTTTATAATCTCTGCCTGGTTTGCTGGGTTACTCTGACACATAGTGGGTGCTTGCTGCTACTTAACAGTAAATAGGTAAGTATACTTCTGCTGAACCAGTCTCTTGATTTTTTTTTAAGTAAAATTTAACTTGGCCAGTGTCCTGGATTTTCAAAAATGCAGTTCTTTAATTAAACCCAATATCCTAACTTGATTTTAGGTTATTGGCAAAAGAAGTTGTTTCCTAGGCTGAAATAAGTCTGCTTTGTAGTTCTTCTCTGAGGCCTTTCAGCTTTGGGTTGGGATTCTTACAGTTTCATTAAACTGGATTGGCCAGAAGAAAAAGGAACTTGTCCATTATTCAGACCTACCTATTTTGTCTGAGTGTGCAGAAGCTATTGGTAAATAGTTCTGCAGCTCTGTTTGAATTCAAACATCATGTTAGCGGACTAGAGTGAAAAAAACTGCGTGCTACCCTGTCCTCTCATTAGTGAACAGCACTATTCAAGTGAACATCTGATTTGAGTGTAGACTTGGGCTGCAATCTTGACTGCCTTTTCCTCGGTCTTTGTGACCTTGGACAAATAATTTAACCTTTGTGGGTTTCAAGTACCTAATCTGAGCGTGGCTAATTGCCACCGAGATTTAATTGTCATTTGTATGCTAGACGCTGTTTAGGAGATTAGGCTCCAAAGCTAGATTGGAACACAGGGCTCTTCCTC